TTGATCGAACCTGAAATCTCACGGAAAGATCAAGAAAATTCATGGGAAGCCATGGAACCAACGACGAATCTCCAATTAAATTATACTATCCAAAGAAGTAAAGAGTCAGAAAAGGATAAGAAGTATTTGCGCGTAAGGAATATCTTAGACTTGGTAGAACAACCGTCAATATACAACAATATGTTCATTGACCAAGATGAAAGTACCAGCACTTCAATGTCTTCATCTATGGCTATAAATTTGTCAAATCAAAAACATACTAAGAAAGTAAAGAGTTGTTCTTTATCATCAGCAACAGCTCTAACACTGCCATTAACAAAACCAACACTACCATCAACATTACCAACATTACCATCAAGATTAGCATCCACGTCAATAACAGAAAATACATCAGTATTACCATCAGCATCAATATCAGTATCAGTACAAGAAACAATGCAAATACCAGTACAATGCAAAGGAAATAAATCAGAAAGAACAATACCAATAGAAGCACCACAATCAGAACAAATACCTTTACCAATGCAAATAGTACCTTATACAGAATCTTGCTCAATTCAACCAAAAATTTCTAATATTCAAAATTCAAGTATTAGGTCGGATGAACATGGGTATTCAGTGAATCATATATCTTCTGCAACGAACAACTTCAGATCATATGTTGAACAACAATCGCAAAATATAACTGATAATATTATATTAATTGTTCCACAATCATCGACAAATTCGATAACTAATAATTACGAAAATACTACTACTGTAATCCAGGAAAACAATCATGAATATAGCAAGGCTGCATCTACATCCACACCATCTACATTCACAGCATCTACATTTACAGCATCTACATCCACAGCATCTATATCCACAGCTTCTACATCCACAGCAATTAATTCATGGTTCAAGAATTATGTTTCTAGTAATAATTGTAGGTCAGAAAAACCAGATAATACTCGTAATTTATTAAGTGTACAGAATAAAGTTCATAATAATTGGAGTGATATAGTAGCCGAAGCAAATTCTACTGATATTAGACTACAAAACAGAATGGAATTACATAATAATAATCAATTTTCTAATCTTCCGGTACCATCTCATCAATATTATCAATATAATCCTGCTTATGCTACGTTTCTTTGGAATAGAAATTCGCCTACAATGCAAACAAATCATTCTAAGAACAATATTAATTTGGTAAATATTATACCTAGTACGCGACAACAGTCAAATAATAACAGAGAAGTGACTACTTTGTATGGGAGATATTCTTCGATCTCTAGATTTGAGAGATTATTTAACCATTTGCCTCCTCTTCAATTTCTGCATATATGCAATTATTGTTCAAATAATTCAAGGCAATTTACGAAACAAGAATATGATAGTCACCTGAATTCTGAACATAATTTCATCTGCAACCTATGTAACTATCGTTTTTATACTTTAAACGACATGGAAAATCATAAATTAAATCAGCATTACGTAGATTTTTCAAATATATTTAAAAGCTAAAATTTGAGCGATAGTTGTTCAAATGTATTACGAAATAAAATATTGTATATATTGTTATTCGATATATAATCATTAACTATTATTTATAAATGAAAGTGGAAGTTTAATTTCATTGATATTATATTTACTGTATTGTTTTTCAATAATATTCATAAATTCATTTTAAAAGTGTAGTATAAAAGTCATTAAATTATCATTTTTGTTATTTGTTAAGAAAGTAATATATCAGTATGTATATGCATTTGTGCCCCGAAATAGGCTTTTCTTCCCATTTTAAATCATTCCTGAGTCCTGAATTTTCAGTACGTCAATACTTTCTACTTCCTTCTCGTTATGCATGGAAAATAATATACATATAAGTACATAACATATACATATATATTTAACATAATATATATACTGTTAATACATAATATATTAAATATATATATATATATATAACGTTAACACTTTACCAACCGGCCGCTCAGCCGCAGATACTCCATGGCGCCAACTGTTTTTCGGCCTACACCATCACACGGGAGTATCTGTAAGTTTCGTATGCTCAGAGAAAATTGTCCGCTTTCTGTTATAACAGGATAGGATAATTAGATTTAATAAAATGTTGATAACAACAATGCAACAAAAACGATTAAAATACGCTATTGATTGACGATAAAAAAGCCGATTAATAGGCGATCGGTCAATAGAGTGTTAATATTTAATATAGTATTAGATACATTGTATTTAAAGACCATTATAGAATGAAGGTAATGCATTTACCAGATATTTCTAAAATTCTATTGGATACGTATGTGCGAAATATGTTTTTAATAAAAAATTTTATTTGATATTTGCGCTAGATATCTTTATTCGGCACTTCGTACGATTTTCTGTACAAGGGGGGACGAGTCCAGGAACTCGATGTAGCAATTTTTTCTTTTCTTTTTATATTCTTGTTTTATCTTTAAAAAAAAAAAAAAAAATATGAATTATGTGAAAAAAAATATTACATGCCATAGTCCATAGAACGTTATCGAATTATAACAATGAAAAAGTTAATCTTAAATAAATTAAATATATGAAATAAGTCATGGGAAAAGAAATGTAAATATTGGCTTCATTCGAGTTCTTGATTACATCGATCTTTAGCACAAATTTGCAGAATAACGATTATTTTTCTATATTATCTAGATTAATTTATCCTTACGATGGTAAGAAATCTTCCATCTATTTTTCCACATTTTTCTTTTTTTTTCCTTTTGTTTTCCCTTAGATTGTAGCTGAACTACATTTATTATTAACATATATTTAGTTTCGTTGATGTATCGAGAATAAATTACGTATGATCTTATGTCTAATTTTAATTATATTTTTTTATTATATTAACTTTTGGCTGTTCCTTCTTATCGTGTCGTACGATCAAAGAGAAAGCCAAGTCGAGCCATTCGATTAATAACACGACGACAAATGTCAAATTAACAAAATAATAAAGAAATAATACATTCATTTTTGTTCGTTCAATATTTTTTTTTTTAAAAACGATTTCATTAATCGACGAGGCATTCTCGTTCTTCGCACAGCATTCAAATTAAGGCGAGCTTATTACTATAATCGATTATTCGACGTTTCGATCACTGTATCGATAAATCATTACCAATTATCAGTAAATAAATTTATCGAACCCAACGATCGATTCAACGAAGGCATCTAAATTGTAAGATAGAATTTTATTTCCTTTTTTTTTTTTTAATCTACGCTTTGGCACGTAATTCACGTAACACAACGTTTCAATCGTGTGTTAATATTGATTTATAAAACGACAATGTATGTGTGTGTGTCTGTGTGTATGTGTGTATGTTGTCCATCTAGAAAGGGACATTACGATCTTTATTTGCATATTACATTTAAACCCTTTCACAGCATATTAAATATCTTATGCAAATATGGAATGGTGTGAGTATGCATATAAATATATATATATATCTTATTAACTAATCTATATATTTATACATATGTTATGTGCACATCGAAGCGATTCAATTACAATGTCTGTTTTTTATATTTTTTTCATCTCTTTATAGGATACTAGAAATTAAATAAAATGACGTATATTTTTATTTGTTTGTTTTATTTCTTTCCCTATAAGTGGTATCAACAACTGTAAAAAAAAAAAAGAAAAAAAAAAACAAAAAGAGAGAGATTATTTTTTTTTTAAAGTGTGAAAAAATGTCGGTTTGAAAAATATTATTCCGTATCAAAATTGAATCCCCTGATGTAAAAAAAATGATTTTTTCTACATCTTTGTTTTTGTTTGCCCTCGTATTAATAACTTTTTTCTTGATTTTTGTTTTGTTTTCTATTCTCTTTTGCATTACATTGGCTATTTGTATTAAATTTTTAATATATTTATCATGTATATAAAACGATATTTGTAAAACGTATTTGTGTGCGTTAACACATGCGTGTATACGTTTATATCGTACATAAAATGAACTTCGAGAGATATCGTATGGGAATAAAATTTTACAGAAATAACAATACAGAGATGTGTGTGACTGTTTCGAGTAGAAAATTGAGTTAAATATAAAAAGGAAATAATATATGTAGTATGTGTATATATGTAAATATATAAATCAAAATGATTTTCTTTTTTTTTTTTTTTTTTTTTTTTTGCAAGAGGTCACTGTATTTTACATACACATATGTAAAACCGATATCATTCGTAGTTATATAGTTTGCTTATATTCGCCGTAAAGGTTGTACTATAAAATCAAATTATTAAACATTTTTAGAGACAT